TTGTATTGTAGGGCAATGAGAGGAAAATCCTTCTGCCCAAAGAAACGCTCCACTGGACCCACACCTAAGTACTTAAATATCTTAACTGTAATGTATTTGAATTTAAAATGTAGTAATTTCCTGATCTGGACAGCCCAATCTTGTCAGATCCCAGAAGCTAAGCAGGGTCGGCCTTGGTTAGCATTTGGAAGGGTGACCTTCAAGGAATTCCAGGGTTGTGACGCAGAGGCAGGCAAAGACAAACCACCTCTGAAACGCCTCTTGCCTTAAAAGCAAGTCTAGCTCACCACCTAGCGGTGCCTAACAATAAAAGAGCTAGAACTTCCAGCTGCCAATCTTCAGATCCCCTAGCTATTCTACATACAATGCCATATGATAATTATTATTATTATAGTCTACAGCAATCATGAAGAGTTACCTGAAGGTTTAAAAATGTATATATATCTGTCAAAACAACCACCTCTGACTGTAAATCTTATTCCACCCCACCTCCCATATGCACCCAGATTTCCTTTGTGTGCGCATCTTCCCTTCGGTCTTTCCAATATGGTCAGCTTAATTTCTTCCCTGTGAAAGTTCAGAAACGAGGTCAAGCACACTCCTGATTTTCTAATAATGTTCTCTGCCCTGCCCCTCAAAAGCAGCTACTCTAGAAATAATCTAACGAGGAGGGAAGAGGGCCATGACTCAGTGGTAGAGCACCTGCTCTGCACACAAAGGTCCCAGGTTTGTTCTCCATCATCTCACGATTGTTGTTGTTGTTCAGTCGCACATTCGAGTCTGACTCTTCGCGACCCCATGGACCAGACCCCGCCAGGCCTTCCGGTCCTCCGCCGTCCTCTGAAGTTTGCTCAACTTCATGTTCGTTGCATTTATGACACTGTCTAACCATCTCATCCTTTGCCGCCCCCGTCTTCTTTGACCTTCTCACGTTATCTCACGATAACCTGGTAGTAATGTGATAAAAGTCTGCCGAGACCCTAGAAAGCAGCTGCCAGCCAGAGGAGACAATATTGCCGTTGATAGATCCATGGTCTGACTTGGTACTTCTATTTATTTGGGGGGGGGGGAATTACACTGTCTCTCTAGGAACCTGCACCGCAGAACGGGAGTAGCTGGCGTATCAGCCAAAAACAGATGAAAGACACCAGGTGCCACAGGAGAGATCTGGATCTCCAACTGCAGGCCAGGATCCAGTAGCACCCCCAGCCTCCTTCTAGGGGAGTGCAACCTCCTCAGAACAGATCGGATCAATTGTTACGGTCAATGGCCAGCACACTCAGTCGTTTTACATAAAAACATTTGAATAAGAAATATGGAATAAAACCAACAGTAGCATTCTTAAATAAAAAATCTGTTAACTATAACATAAAAATAGAGTAAAAGAGCCATAAAACTTGTGTATAATTTAGATAAAAAGATGCAAGCTTAGTCTGACCGCCATGCATTTTAAGTTCCTTGTACACCTGGGCACAAAATCTAGCCACCTGGCTAATGTTCCCTCTAAGCTGTGAGCAAAAATTCTTCTTTGTGAGCTGCTGGCATGCAAATTGTGAGCGGGCGATTTGGCTAGTTTGCTCTGGAGCCCTCCTTCCTGAGCTGAGTCAAACATCTGTGAGCTGGAGGCTAAAAAACCGTGACCTAGCTCACATTAACTCAGCTTAGAGGGAACACTGCGTGACCTGGCCCCTCCAGGACAGGCTGAATCCTCAGTCCTCTGAGCGTCTTTGACACTGTCCAGCAGCACCTTAGCATGAGGCAGTTTCATGTGTATCACGGGCAGGTTTCCCTTCTCAGTCCTTGAAAAGCTGATTGCCCTACAATACAGTATACATGGTGGTGGAAAATTCCAACAAGTCACAAGTGACTTACAGCTAGAGATGTAAAATTTCCGGAAATTTTGAAGCTCGGAAAAAAACCCGGTTTTTTCCGGGGAAAAAACGGAAATTTTCGGAAAAATTGAAAAAAATGCTACATTAGCATTTTTTTTGTCTTTTCTAGATTGAAAGTCATTCTGTTACTTTAGGAGCATAAAATATGACTATGGACATTTTTACTTGGCACGAAATTATCACAACTAGCCTATTAAAAATATAGTGTATCCAAACAATTATTACAAACAGAATACCCACCCACATGCAAAAACAAAACTGAAACCTTTTTCTTTTCTTGTGACAACAGCACCTCCTAAAGGAAGAAATGCATCTTGTTCTTGCACTGGAGAGTTCAGTTTTTAACCTAGGACTTGCTTGTCCTCAGTGCACAGAAATTAGATCAATCTGATACCATATATATATATATTAGAAATGATTTGGAAAATATTGAACACCTTGTCTAAAAATATTTTATTCATCATGTTAAAATAAAACGTTCCGTAATCAATTTTTTTTTCTTTTTTCAATTTTTCCAATTTTTTGAAAAAAAACAAAAAAGGCTTCAGGAAAAAAACAGGAAAAAAACCAGGTTTTTTTTCCAAATTTTTCCATTTATTTCCCGGGCCTTCACATCTCTAGATGGGTAGCCATGTTAGTCTGTCTGGACTGTTACAATAGCATCTTAAAGTGGTAAGACAGGAGCTTTCGTAAGCCACTGCTCACTTCTGAGCAGTGAGTGACTCAGGAAAGCTCATACCCTACCACAGATTATTGTTAGTCTTTAAGGGGTTACTGGACTCTTACTCTTTTCCGTCTCCCAAGTGGAAAAGATTGGCTAAACTTCGTTATTTCCCCAAATTTGTTAACTTTCATAAGAAGAGAAGAAGAGCCCTGACCTGGATCAGACCAGTGGTCCATCTGGTTCAGCATCCCGTCTCACACAGTGGCCAGCCGGTTCCTCTGGAGGGCCAACAAGAGGGCGTAGAGGCCGAGGCCTTCCCCTGAGGTTGTCTCCTGGCTCTGGGATTCAGAGGCTGACTGCCTCTAACTGTGGAAGTTTTCCTCAGTTATCATGGCTAGTAGTCATTGACAGACTTACCCTCCATGAATCTATACAATCCCCTTTTAAAGCTGTTTATCCCTGTGGCCATCACTACATCCTCTGGCAACAAATTCCACATTTCAATCACTCTCCTGTCTCACACAGTGGCCAGCCAGTTCCTCTGGATGGCCAACAGCAGGGCATAGAGTCTGAGGCCTTCCCCTGATGCCACCTCCTGGCTCTGAGATTCACAGGTTGACTGCCTCTGAACATGGAGGTTCCCCTCAGTCACCATGGCTAGTAGCCATTGATAGTCTTCTCCACAAGTCTATTTAATCCCCATTTAAAGCTGTTTATTCCTGTGGCCATCACAACATCCTCTGGGATTTCCATTTGCAGAATTCCTTTTCTGGGGGGTGTAAGCATCCCCACACACCCTCAGAAGAATAAAAACCGCTGGGTTTCCATTGCCTCTCCACTGCACAGGGGCAAAGTCATGGGTGGATTCAGGGGTCATTTCGTAGAAAAAGAGCTAGGGGGACTCATTAGCATAACTCATTAGCATATGCCACACCCCCTGACATCACCGGAAGTGTGTCCTCCCCACAGCCGGCGGCGACCTCCAGCGGGCACCAGCAGGGAGCTCCAGGCCCCGCCCTCCCGCACCTCACCCGGGGAGATGGCATCCCCCCGCATCCCCCCCCAAATGACCCCTGGGTGGATTGCTTTCCACAATGCCTATAACCAGGGGTCGTTTAGTAGAAAAAGAGCTAGGGGAACTCATTAGCATAACTCATTAGCATATGCCACACCCCCTGACATCACCGGAAGTGTGTCATAAGGCCACACACCCCACCCCCAACGGTCCCAGCCGCCGCCGGCCTTTCCTCCTGGCTGAATGAGGGCCGGAAGTGGGGCGGCCGGAAGCGGGGGGCGGGGCTTCGTCATGTGCCCCCGTACCTCACCTGGGGGAACTGTGATCCCCGCGATCCCCCCCTGAAATGACCTCTGCCTGGAACTATATGTTCCCCTCAATGCTCTCCCTAAGCAAGGGGTGTCAAACATGTTGCCCGGGGGCCAGATTAGGCCTGCACTGGAACTGGTCATCTCCTGCTTCCTGTTGCTGCTGCTGCATCATAGCTTACTTTACCAGACTCTCTCAATCGCTCAGCTATTACATGTTTTCCCCTGGGTCCTAGACTCAGGAATCTAAACATGAGATTTTTGTAGGTTTGCAGCTTACAGATACACACCTGAAGAGCACACTCAAGATTGCAACAACACAGACATTTTGATGCAATAATTCAGAGCAAGAGGTGTCAGTTATCAGACACTGTTAAATAAATAAAATATTGCAAGAGTGCTAATGTTTTAAGCCTGTTTTTATTTTAAGTAAAAAAAACCCTTTGTGTTTGTGTCCTTTACAAAGTTGATATCTCCGCTGCCTGGCATTACATTATATGACTCACATGGCCCGGCCCAACAAGGTCTCATTTATGTCAGATCCGGCCCTCATAACCAATGAGTTCGACACCCCTGCTCTAAGCTATGGAGCCTTGTGAGCAAAAGTTCTACTTGGTGAGCTCCTGGCATTAAAGTTGTGAGCGAGCAATTTGGCTGCTGCATCAGTTTGTTTGCTCGGGAGCCCTCCTCCCTGAGCCAAGACAAAAACGTGCGCGCCGGAGGCTAAAAAAACTGTGAGCCGGCTCACACCGACTCAGCTTAGAGGGAACACTGGCTCCCTTCAGCACCCACAACAGGAGGCAAACAAAGCAACCTCTACCTGCCCCGCACGCCCAGTCTTCTTCCAAAAACACTAATATCCGGGGGCTTTCAGGGATGCCTGGGAGATGCGAGACCCTGCAGCAGCAGCAGCATCCCGGCTGGAGAAAGGACTAAGCCAAGGCGCCACCGGGGAAGGGGGGCGAAAAACCCGTGGGGCGGCGACGCGAAACTACTCAGTGTCCCCAAGAACGCCTCTCCCCACTCCGCCTCCACCCAATAAGAGTCGCCGGCGCGAGGCCAAAGGAAACCGTCAGAAAGGAGGGGGGGAGGAGGGGGGGGGGGGGAGAAGAGTCACTCACCGGCTCAGGCGAGGATATCCCACTTTGGCATTCTCCTCCAAAGAGGTCACACACCTAGACACTGGTAGAACAAGTCCGGTTGCCCGTCGAAAGAGCGCGGCGACGCCCTCTACGAGAGGAGCGTCTCTCAGGGTGGCCTCCGAGTTGCCCCGCTTATGGCGCAGTGCGAATGGGAGCTGGAAGTCAGTCCCCGGCAGAGCTCTTGCCTTGGCTCTACCTCTATGCCCCGGCTCCCGCCCTCTTCCGTCTTAGTCAACCAGTCCGCAGAAACGATTTCTGAACGAATCGAACCCCTCTTCCCTCTCCTTCTATCGAAGCCAGAGCAATAGAGCTGGGACTGTCACATTCTCCTCTTTCCCCTGCCCTGTTGCAACACACCTTTCCCCCCCGCTGCTGGAGCATTCTTCTCATCCAACATTTTGTATTTCGAGATCTTCTTATAAAGATCTGCTCATAAACTGCTACAGCATCATCCATGTGGACTGGTTGTTGTTGTTCTTCCAACCAGATCTTTTCTTTTCTTTCTTTCTTTCTTTCTTTCTTTCTTTCTTTCTTTCTTTCTTTCTTTCTTACTTTCTTTCTTTCTTTCTTTCTCTCTCTCTCTCTCTCTCTCTCTTTCTCTCTTTCTCTCTTTCTCTCTCTGTCTCTTTCTTTCTCTCTCTCTCTCTGTTTCTCTCTCTGTCTCTCTTTCTTTCTCTCTCTCTCTGTTTCTCTCTCTTTCTTTCTTACTTTCTCTCTCTCTGTCTCTCTCTCTCTCTGTCTCTCTCTCTCTCTTTCTTTCTTTGTCTGTGGAGTCATAAGTGACTTATGGTGGCCCCCTGCGGTTTTCAAAGCAAGAGACCTTCAGAAGTGGTGCCAGGTCCCCCTGGCCACTGGCAGGGGGCATAGGGTTGCCAAATCCAGGTTGGGGAAAATTCTTGGCGGTTTGGGTAGTGTTGCCAACCTCCAGGTGCCACCTGGAGATCTCCTGCTCTTACAGTTGATTTCCAGATGACCAAGATCAGTTCCCCTGGAGAAAAGGGCTGCTTTGCAGGATGGACTCTATGGCATTATACCCGCCTGAGTTCCCTCCCCTCCCCAAACCCTGCGCTCCCCAGGCTCCACGCCCCTCCATCTCCAGGTATTTCCCAACCTAGATTTGGGGTTGTAGCCCGGAGAGGACAGCGCCATAGCGTCCCCCCGCCAAAGCATCCCTTTCCTTCGGGGGCACTGATCTCTGTAGTCTGGAGATGAGCTGTAATTCAGGGGGGTCTCCAGGCCCCACCTGTAGGCTGGCATCCCCAGCTGCCTCTGCATCGCCACCCTGGATTTTCTCGGTGGTCTGTCTCCCATCCAAATACTAACCAGGGCTGATCCTGTGAAGCTTCCTAGATCTGATGCGATCAGGCCAGCCAGGCAGGCGACAGCCTTGAAGTGTTTGAAATCACTGCGTGAGAAAATGCTGCTGTTTTTCACACCACACCAGTGCTATGCTCTGTGCTTCGTTTCTAAGAGGAGAGGTTAATTCGGGTTGCCAACTCCGTGCTGGGAAATTCCTGGAGATTTGTGGGCAGAGGCTGGGGAGAGCAGAGTTTGGGGAGGAGAGGGAGCTCAGCTCTGGCTTGGGAAATGCCTGGAGATTTTGGGGGTGGAGCCCGGGAAGGTGGGGTTTGGGGAGAGGAGGGACCTCAGCAGGGTATAATGCCACAGAGTCCACCCTCCAAAGCAGCCATTTTCTTCAGGAGAACTGATCTTGGTCATTTGGAGATCAATTGTAAGAGCATAAGGACATTAGAGAAGCCAATGCTGGATCAGGCCAATGGCCCATCCAGTCCAACACTCTTGTCACACGGTGGCCAAAAATAGTAGGTGCCATCAGGAGGTCCACCAGTAGGAGCAGGAGATCCCCAGATTCCCCCCGAAGATTGGCAAGCCTAAATGGGTCAGGCTACTGCTTGCACCCAAATTTAAATAATTTATTTGCTGATAAAGCGTATTATAGTCTTATGGTAATGAAAGGGAGGCATGTTTTAATATTTGTATTCAGTCTATTAAATTATTGCATAGAAATGGCTAAGTGTGGACCTGTCAGCTCGGCCACTGCCATAGCTGGTGGAGGGAGGAGGTGATGGATGGAGTCTGTTGCTGTAATGGAATCTTAACTTTCTTTCTGTCCTGGCTCCTCTTATCTGCTAGTCTGAGTCAGTGACCTTGGTACCTTGTTGCTGCTTTGTCTGAGAATGTAGACCTGTTAGGTTAGGCGGGCTTTTGCTAGTTCCCTGATTGTCCCATGTCAATCAGAGGGACCCCTTTGAACTATGTATGACTCCCCATTGCACGTGCTTGCAATCAGTTCTAATGGAGTATGTATGCACAGACAACCTGCCTGCCTTTACTGTACTCCATAAACTTCACTCTTTTGAATGGGAGTTGTTGGGAACTGATTGCTGTGAGACTCTGACAGGAACAGGGTTATTTTCTATGTGTCCTTTAAACTGTAAATTGTTATGTGTGGCACATAGGACAAAATGGAAGTAAATCATTGAACTAATAGTTTAACGCCGAAGAATAGATTCTTTTGAACTATGGTGCTGGAGAAGGCTCTTGAGAGTCCCTTGGACTGCAAGAAGATCAAATCAGTCAATCCTAAAAGAAATCAACCCTGACTGTTTCCTGGAAGGCCAGATGATGAAACTGAAGCTCAAATACTTTGGCCACCCAATGAGAAGGGAGCACTCACTGGAGAAGACCCTGATGCTGGGAAAGATTGAAGAGTCGGACTCGACTGTGCGACTGAACAACAAAATAGTTTAATTAAATGACAGTAACAGTCCATTTGAGCATGACTATTAATGAAGAAAACAACACTGAAAACAACAGTTATTTAACACGAAAATGTAAGAGAATGTGATCAAGTAGCCAAGAGGGCTATAATTCCACAAGAAGTTATGTTTAGGGTTGTTGTGTTTTTAAAAGAGGGATTTAAGAACCAGTTCCCAAAAATATACAGTAGCACTGGTTTCAGGCCAAGCTTTTGTGGCGCTGCAGTCTTTTAACTATCCATACAGGCCACACAAGTTTAGTACTAGGATGATGGCCAATGTTAACTGTATGAGGGGAGACACGGAGAGAGAAAGATTGGATATTGTTTGGGCGATCAGGTGTTGAATGTTAAACAATACTTATTTGTGTAGAGAATTTACACACCCCCTCTCCAGAACCTGTTCAAGGCGACTGAAAACAAAAATAGTAAAATGCCAACAAGTAAATAACAAGACAAGCCCTTAACAACAGATCAATAAAAACACGACAGAGCTTAAAAGAAGCATAGAACAAACAGCTGTCTAAACCAGGGGTGTCGAACTCATTTGTTATGAGGGCCAGGTCTGATATAAATGAGAACATAAATGAGAAATGAAAACATGCTTAACACATTAGCACTCCTGCAATATTTTGTTTATTTAACAGTGTCTGATAACTGACACCTCTTCCTCTGAATTATTGCATCAAAATGTCTGTGCTGTTGCAATCTTGAGTATGCTGTTCAAGTGTGTATTTGTCAGCTGAGAACCTACTTTTGATTTATTGACATTCACCACATAAATCTCATGCTCAGAGTTCTGAGTCTAGGACAGGTTAGAACATGAAATGGCTGACTGATTAAGAGAGTCTGGCGAAGCAAGCTATGATGCAGCAGCAGAACTGGGAGCAGGAGATGGACAGTTCCAGTGCGGGCCTGATAGAAGCCCTCTGGGGGCTTGATACGGCCCCCGGGCTGCATGTTTGACACCCCAGGTCTAAATTGATATTGATAAATCAATCCACAGAGACACACAGGGTTGCCAAATCCCCCTGGCCACCAGTGGAGTTTGGGGGGGGTAGGGTTGCTAGGTCCTGGTTGGGGAATTCCTGGAGATTTGGGAGTGGATCCTGGGGAGGAAAGGGACCTCAATGGGGTACAATACCATGGAACCCACTCTCCAAAGCATCCATGTTCTCCAGGGGAACTGATCTCTGTAGTCTGGAGATTAGCTGTAATTCCGGGGGATCCCCCGGTCCCACCTGGAGGCTGGTACCCCAAACAGACCACAAAACAGCTTAAAACACCCCCAAACTCTGGGTAAATAGAAGCTACTTGTAGAGGATTCCCATCATACAACCTGCAAGGCTGAAGACAGGCAATAGTTTGAAAGAGAGCTGAACGCGGTGTGGCCGAGGCATTATTGCTCTTGGTTTGCAAAAGCATTTATTTTATCTAGTCATCATCTTGGGTCAAACAATTTCTGGATGTCTCCAAAACCCCACAAAATCTATTTCCCAGGGACAACTGCAGAGAGCATGTGTGCGCACGCCATGGGAAACTGATGCGCCTTTATGCTCCTTAAAACGACTCTAATCTCGAAAGACAAAAGCAACACCAAAGGCTTATCCCCCCCCCCTTCCCTGCCAATTCTACTCATATAAAGACGAGGGTAAAGATTAATCAAAGGTATGCCGTCTCCTTTTGTACATGGGCGCGCGCGACTGCACTTTCCCTCAAGCGGCAGCGATTTTGAAATTGAAACGTTGCACCGCTGAGAAAGTGCCATGAAAATATAACCCTGCTGCATTCCATGAAAATAAATAAGCAAGGCCACCCAAATTTTCAATTAGTGCTCCAGCAGAATGCAGGAAATGGGCTTGAGAGCCGTCAAAGGCCGCCTTAGGCTGGGTTGCGGACACGGAACAGTGACAGGAAGGTTTGCGGCAAAGGAATACAAGGCCCAGTGTGAAGATGGCTCTTCTCCAAGGAAAACGACATGCTAATAGGTTAAGACTGATTTCCTGAAACACACAGCCCGAGTATTACAAGCTGGAATTTACGTTCTGACAAAAGGCCGAGCCTCAAAGACTTTGCTTTTCTGCTGATAGAATAACACCACAAAGTTCAAGCCGCATTATATGTTTTACGGTTTTAAGCTTCTTAAACATTCAAAGTACAAACCCGGCACATATTTTTTCGCCACCTGAAATAGCAGTCATTGGACGAGCCTTGTGAGAAATAAAGAATGTTATATTCACGGATAGAATATTTGAGTTA